TTGTTAGGACATTTGTCCCAGCCATTTTTTGCTTGTAGAAAAAGAAATCATCTGGCAAAAGGGAAAAATATGAGGAACTGTTTACAGCTATGCAGGTGACAATGTCCTAAAATATAAACACTGAATGTCTAGTTCTGTATGCATTTTGCCATGACTCCAAGGGTTTCCTACTGCATGAGAGTTAGTGTCATATATTATTTAAATGATTCACTGTCAAGTAAATAACATTTCACACACACACTTTGGACAGAGAAAATCTCTTATAACACTATTCATTTTGTTGTCAACTTCTTATGATGTTTGAGACAGCATCACATTGTCTGACTTGAGAAACTATAAAACATTAAAAGTCTGACCACTTTAATTATACTTCATGGCCTGCCAGTGTTATGTCTTTGTTTCCATACTTTCCATTTTGTTTTCATGGTAGTATCAGTTGGAACCAGCTTGCTTCTGGTTGATGTAATGTGACACTAAATTACACAGTTGCCAATGCTGTCCTTCAGTCAAAGCTAAGGATTCCTTGTGTGAACAATGAAACGACTCTTATTTTTAAGGGAAATATAAAGTACGTTTCATAGGACAAAGATACATCTTGACACTTGCTCTTTCTACCCATTCTGTATAGAAAAAGATTCTGGCAAGGGAAAGAAAGAAGAGGACAATAATTCACAGTACATTCAGACTGTCTGTGAATATTATTATTTTTAAGCATTATTAATTACAAAATATATCTCCACATTTAGATCTCAAACTTCTTCCATTTTTGTTGTTATCCAAATTCCCATTCCCATAGTAACAAAGCATCCAGGTCAAAATCCTGTTGGTGTCTTATGCATATGTAAGTTCCCTATGGAAGTAGTTGAACATTTTTGTTTGATGCAGAATGTCTGCATTCATCAAAGGCAGCTTGGAGCCTACAGAGGACACTTTATACCAGAGATTAAGGACCTCTGATTCATGTCTGTCCTCAGACTAAATGGCTGGCATAGATGTGCTCCACATGTAGAGATTTATATTACACAACCCACATGCAGGATTTTGGCTCTAGTGTTTCAGAAATCCAGCATATACTACTAGCATTATGATAGCCAGACAGTGTCCAAAGAAGAAAGGAGCCCTGGTGGTGCAGTGGTTAAATGCCTGTACTGCAGCCACTCACTCATAGACCACAAGGTTGCGAGTTCAATACTAGCCTGGGCTGAGGCTCGACTCAGGCCTGAATCCTTCCGAGGTCGCTAAAATGAGTACCCAACTGTTGGGGGGCAATGAGCTTACAGTTGTAAACCACTTAGACACTCCATAGCGTGGTATGAAGTGGTATATAAATGAAGCTGCTTTCTTTTTGCTAGCCACATCAGCCTAGTTCTCAGGCCCAACTAGACCTGGCTTTCAATTTTGTGATTAGGAAGAATTTTGTCATTAGGTGTGAAGGGGTGATTTTTGTTGGGGATATATTGTACAGGGCTGCTTTGTCTAGTCTGGAGCATTGGTTGGGAACTGGGAGGAATGTAGTGGGGCATTTGGAAGAAACTCCACATGAATCAGAAGTCCTTCATCTCTGGTATTAAATGCCATCTGTGGGCTCCAAGCTGCCTTTGCATATAATCATGTACCTACATGTTCACTAAGTATGATCCAACTATCTCCTGCACTTTAATTTATAGAAATCTGGAGAGTGAGCTGAATCCTAAAAAATTACAATAGAAGAAACTCATGGTAACACAATTTTAGTAACGTATCCCCAAAGGCAAACATTTTTTTCCCAACACAGGGAGTACAGAGGTATATCTATTGGAGAGGGAGTGAAGGCATTGCCCCTCAAAAAAGAATTCCCTCCCCCCACCCGTATGAAATTTTTCTCAGTCTCTAAATTTCTTGCATTGCAGAGAATGAGGCACTGAAAATAATTCATACCTAGAATTTTATATATTTTTTTTATGTTCTCATTCCCTTGGTAACTTTGCCTGGCCCTCTGCTTAGGATGCCTAAACTAAATTTCTAAATGCTTGACTGAAGTTACAAAGAAATTTGAGGACTGGAGGAAAATTTCATTTGGTGGGGCAGAATTATTATATTATCATAACTACACCACTAAAGCATCAGAAGATAGGGCTAAGCCTGGTTGATAGGAAGATTTCAAAACATATAAGCAGATGGCAGAGCTTGGAAGCATTGTTGGTTTTTGTTTTTTGTTTTTTAAATTGCATGTTTGTTTGAGCATTCTGGAATTTGTAGTCCATAAGGTAACTTTTCTAAATAATTTTTTTAAAAAAAAATCCTGCCTTGCTTACAGACTCCTGTGACCTGATGAGGAACCTCCACAGACTGGATTAGGTCCAGGGGCCAGAGGTCACTCTCCTCTTATATAAAATTATGATTTTGCTTATAAGCAAACCGAGCCATCTCTGATAGCATCTGACTTTTCAAAAACATTTACAAGGTGTATTTGGATTACAGAAACATGTTGAGCTCTGTTTTACCATTAGGACCTTTTAAAATGTGCCAGCTGCTATTAAAAATAAACCTTTCCCCACAGGTGTAAAAAAAAAAGAGAGAATTGACTTGAAAGAGTAGTAAACAGTTCGGGGATTACAGATGTGAGGACAGGAATAGCAAGGAAGCACATTGCATGAAGACATCAGGGGCCTTTCACAATACCCAGTCATAGCACTATGGAGATGATCACACAAGGCTAAAAAGCAGAATTTTAAAAGAATAAAAGTGGTTTTGGCTGGTATTTATCACATGGCATTGTGTCTGCTCTGCTGCCTTCCATTGCATTTATTACTGTTATACACTTTTTATTGATGGGCAAAATCCATCAATTGCTCTCTGTCTCACTACTGTTCCATTTCTGCCTTTGTGTGACAGGTCCCTTCTGCTGCAGTTTCACTTCTCAGGCAGTCTTGTGGTGTGAGCAGGTGTAAATCTGTTCCTCTGCTCTTTCCCCCTCCCTCTCACAGTGATTGCAACTGCCAGTACCTTTCTGAAGCCAGCTGCTATCTTCACATTCACACAGTAGCCAGTTTTGGGAAGGTATTGGCACTGGGATCACTTATCCCCCCCCCCAATTCCTCCCAATGTGTGAGGCTGCTGTGTGTATGGGTGTGCGGAGTGAGTCTGGTTACCAACATCTTCTGGATCTCAACCCTGCCACCCAATCTCTCTTCTCCCTGACCCCCACCACCTGATCTCTCTCCCCCTGCCCCTGCCCTCTCTTTTCCCCACTTCCCTGCTGCCTGATCTCTCTCTTCCCATCCGCCACCTGATTTATCTTCCCCTGTCTTTCTGTCCCCTGAGTACTCTCCCCCACTCCCACCTCTGACTTATCTCCCCTGCCTTTCTACCACCAGCAATCTTTCTCCGTCCCTCTGCCAAACTGATCTGCATGCACCATACTGCTATTGAAACAGAGGTGTGATAAAAATTGCTTCAATATTGTTAGGTTTCTGTGTGCTTCAAAAACAAGATTGTAAGAAGCTTCATGTGATAATGTCCTATGATTCCACTTTTAAGTGTCATAACAACATCTTATGGAATTCTGCGAATTGTGTTTTATGGAAGAGTATCCAGAATTTTCAACCAGAAAGCTATACTGCCTCCCCATATTCTACAGGGTGCAGCAGTAGTAATTAATGTGGAATGATAGTGCTATAACTGAGTAGTGAAAGGATTCAGCCTTTCTTCCTCACTTAAATGCAATGAGTCAGGAGCAAATGATTTAAACATTTTCTGAGCTGACATTCAAACCTTTGTGGTTTTTAAAATGGGACTGGAAAAAAACATTTTACAAATAAAGATGTGGGAGGTTGTTTTTAATGTAAGAGTCTACAGAAAAGTGAGTGGAAGTTTTTATTGTTGCTGAAATAATGGAACAATTTTTGTGCGTGTGTGTGTGTGTGTTGTGTGGTCCAGAATTTCAGAAATTTTCATGTAGCTTCAATTTATTGTACTTTGTTGAAAGCATCCACTATCAGCATCTTCCTCCAGGTGGAACATTAAAAGAATTAGCTGCTTCTCATACAACAGGGAGTTATATGGCCCATGTGGCCCCTTATAAAAATATGATCACAATTCATAGTTTTAGATTTTTTGTATTCTTTGTATTAGATATTTCAAAGGTGTATTATCAAGTGTCTCAAAATAAATGTCTCATGGGGACAAAAATTATCAGTTTTTTTTTCAAGTAAAAACATGTACTGTTGCTGAAGGTTTGTGGTGTAAATTTGTATTTTTGGATATAATGTCAAGTGTGAAAGTGGTACTGTTCTTGTGAAGAAGAAAGGGTTATTTTTGTCCCAACACTATTTGAGTCCTGAGAGACAATAAGTAATTATCTTCTATTAAGGATGTTACTTTAAATATATAATATTTTGGTGTTTATATTTGAATCAGTGCTGACATACCCTTTTCCCAACCTGCTATTCACTTTGCCATTCTTGTCCGTTGAAAATAGAGTGATATAGATAATTTTAGAGGGAAGAAAATGAGACATGATACATTTCAGAAAGACTTATCAGCAGTACTCCTCCTCCTGAGATCTGCCAGAATGTGTCAAGATGTAAAACTGCTCAAATGGGCTTCAAAACATAGCAGCTGCCATGGATGGACACTGTTCCTCTTCGAAAGGAGTTACACTTCTCCTTTTGCAGACAGTAGCCCCCTCAGAACTTTGCAACATAATAATATTTTTTCCAGGACTATTTGGGTTGAGGGAATAGTGATCACTAGAATATTGCCACTTCTACAAAATAGAAAATAGGGAGGAAAGATGCTTTATGGGGGCTGCCCACAAATAATGTTCAAAAGCTATATCTAGTGAAGTATGTCCAGTAACAAGAATAGCAATAGCAAACAATAGCAAGTACATTTCTATACTGCTTATCAGTGCACTTAAGTACTCCCTAAATGGTTTACAATGTGGAAGCTGATTGCCCCCTAAAAGCTGAGCACTCATTTTAACGACCCCAAAAGGATGCAAAGCTGAGTCGACCTTGAGCCCCTGGCTGGTATTGAACTCACAACCTTGTGGTTTGTGTGTAAGTGGCTGCAGTACAAGCATTTAACCACTGTGCCACCAGGGCTCCAAACAGCGATACTTTTATTGGCCAACAAAAATGCACAATATACATGTTGCAAGCTTTCTCAAGAAGCCTTCATGCTTTTGTATCAGGGGAACTTTGAGTGGTGTAGAGGTAAAACATGCCAATCCAGTCCAAATTTAAGAAGAAGAAAATGTCCCTTCAAATCCAACATGTCTCCAGGGTAAACATTTTTCTTCTTCTTAAATTTTCCTGATGCAAAAGCATGAAGGTTTCTTGAGAAATCCAATGTCCTCCACCTACAAAAGGGGCCTGTACCCTTACAAATGATGGAGACATTCTGGATTCCAAATGAAGCAATTTTTTTGCGTTGCAAATGGATGTTGAATTTCCTGGACTTTGAGAATCCCTCATTTGCCACATTGATAGAAGGAGGAGGTACCAGCCTACAAGATTTGACCCTCTATACAGGGGTAGGCAACCTTTCCTTTTTAAGGCTGAGGGACTTCAGCTCCCAGAATCCCAGGAGCTATTGGCCAACATGGGACTATTGGCCAACATGGATGAGGTTTCTGGGAGCTGAAGTCCCTCAGCTTCTTAACTAAGAAGAGAAATAGCAAAATGCAGGCCTATGAATAACATCTTCAATTTTTCCCTTCTGTTACCTTGCCTGATGAAGAAGCCACGGAAGCTTCTAAAAGTTGCAACATGTATATTGTGCATTTTGGTTTTCCCAATAAGGGTATCACTGATTGGTAGATTTTTGTTGTAACTGGAATTGCTATATGGCCAACATGGCTACCCCTGGATGTTAGCTAGTGAAGTATGCAGCAGCAAGACTGTGGCCCACCCTGTGCTGTAACCAGAACAGGAGCTTTCCCTTGGGGATAGTTCACTATAGGAGAATTAAATATTAGCTCAATTTATGGTTGGGTTACACAGCCCTAAGATCATCTCCATGTATAACAGAGTTGAAGGTAAAAGAACTGCAGAGGAAAATTCTCAAAGAACTGTATTTTATTTTAAACAGAAAAACCACAATGTACGCTTAACAGACACTCACACAGGCACCCAAGAACTGGGAAATAAAGGTGTTAGGTTGGAACAGAGTAAGGCCTTCAAATGGAGATACGACACCTGCTTGGATGCTGCTCTTCTTGATGATGTTCCGGGATGGGATAAATGGGAACTTAATCGCTCCAAGGCCACCAGAGTTTGGAGAGCAAAAGAGGGGTCTAGCAAAGTACAAATCGGCAGCACCTCTGTCTGAAAACCAATCTAATCCAACTAACAAAGGAAAGGTCTCCTACTTTATAGGGATTTTGTGCCCTGGGGCAAAGTCTAAATAGTTGATGTGGCCAAATGGTCTAAATCTTTGATATGCATAGGTGGTACTTTGCAGTAGGATCTTCCAAAGCTGTGACATGTTCCTGCAGCAGACAGTTTACAGTGTCAGGTAGATGGAGTTGTTTACTCCGATCAGAGCCATCCTATTGTTTCATAGCCAGGCTTTTCCTCACCTCTTCTGACATGTCCAGAACAGAAATTCTCTTGGTGACTCCTAAGCTAGCTGACATGACCTGCTCACTAGCAAATAGTGGTGTCCACTTTAGGATCAGAGAGGCTGAGTTCATAGCAACTTTGATATCAAAAGAGGTTCAGGCATTTAGAGTTCTTGTTTTTGTTGTGCGTCTTCAAGTTGTTTCTAACTTATGACAACCCTGAGGTAAACATATCATAGGAGCTTCTTGGCAAGATTTGTTCAGAGGTAGTTGACATGGCTTTCCCTTGAGGCTGAGAGAGTGTGACATGCCCAGGGTTACCCAGGGTTTTTTACAGCCAAGCTGGGAATTGAACCCTGGTCTCCAGACATAGTCCAACACTCAAACCACTGCACCATGCTGGCTCTCATACTTTAGAGACCACATTGATATTTTACTAATGATACTGATTTCCACTTTAATTCTACAGTACTTAGAATTAAGATACTTTAATTATTTAGTAAAAATTAAGGTACTTGTTTTTACAAAAAAATTAATCTATGTGATTATGGCTACTTTTTTTTGCACGGTTAAGTAAGAACTAGGCCTACTGAATATTGTGTGCCTTATTTTTGAGTAAACATGAATAGCACTATGCTGTGAAAATGTTCTCCCTGGAGAATTTTGCTATAAGCAATAAAGCCATCAATCTCAGATATGAGGTGTAGCAGATGCCATTGTATCAAACATTCTTTTTCCCTGCCATTGAAATTTTCTTTCTTTTCCAGACTACTTTTCTTCCCATAAATGTTACTTGTGAAGAGGTAACCTGCGGCCAACACTTAGACAGCCAAATAGCTTATAGATTTAATCATAAATAAAGTCTGTCAATCAGTTGACAGCTTTGTATTTATGCACACTTGTTAATTCTATTTTAAGGACTCACTTACATGGAGAAGAGAATTATGCCACATAACAGTACAAAGAAAACGCGGGAGCCATATTAAAATTTTCCAGTATATGTTCCTTTGTGAGCTTTAACAGAAATACAATATTGGTTAGAACAATCCTACTTGGGGACCATATCATAGTGTCTTCCACACTGAAAATCCAGCCAGTCTACAATACAGAGGGTCAGAGAAGGGGACTGTTTTTGCCAGTTTTTGAGCCAGTGCTTAGTCCAATTTTAACTTTTTCCTCCCAATAAAACTATATCAGCCTTCCCCAGAAGCTTCCAATTTTCTCTGAATCTATTTTTGAACTTTTAAAATGTATTTAAAAGACATGTTTCTTGATCTCTTTGAGGTACTTGGTGTTCTACAGAATTTTAAATACTAATAGCAGCACTGTGAATTGCTGCCCAGTAGCAAACTGGCCACTAATGTAGATACAGAATAAGCTGTAATGGGCATGCATCAGGGACATAAATTGCCTGATTCATTCAGGCTAAGCAGTCTAGTCAGTACCAGTGCCAAGCTGTGTAACCCTTGTTGTAGGGTGGCACACAGGTGGCTGGTTGACAAAAATCATCATCATCATCATCAGCAGCAGCAGCAGCAGCAGCCATCACCACCACCAACCCACCAGTGAAGATGCCTAGTGCTCAGGATCAGCAACCCAATGCCAGCAATAGTTTGGGTTTAAGGTAGGTTTCTCATGATTCCTCACTTATAGATTTGGATTTCACAAAACTTCTATTTGTTCAGTCTTCAATATTTTCCATCCTATTTCAGCATCAGTTTAAAACTTAAAAAACAGAAACAAAAATCAAACACCAAAATCTGCTTTAAAATTTGTAGGCCTTTTTGTGCACATGTGCTAATTTTTGTATGCTTTTTTGTCCCAGATACTTTTTTTTTTGCAAGCAGTTTCCTTTTTCATTTTGTTTTTTTAAATCCCCACCACCACTACCATGGATGTTGCATGTGTACTTTTTTTCGAGTATATATAATTTGGAATGTTGTTGTTGTTGTTGTGGAGGGCTGGTATGAAGAACTACATTGCAAAATTCTGAGGATTATGAATACTGAAGGTAATTGTGTTCTGATTCTCATGTTATTACTTAAAAATTGGCCAAGTTCCCACACCATAATATTAATCAGTTAATTAACTCTAGGGTCTTTATCCCTGTTTATACAACAGTAGCTAGAAACAAGAAATTGGCAGAGACAAAGTATTTCAAGTTAATTGTTGAATTTATTGGGAAATAAACACACACTTAAGACAATCTTTCACTCATGCATACACCCAAGAACTCAGGAATAAAGGGATTAGCTGTGAAAATAGACAAGGGAACTTCTAAGGGGATGAGTGAAAGGTTGTCTTAAGTGTCTGTATATTTCCCAATAAATTCAACAATTACCTGAATTAGGCTGCTTCTTGTGATGATTTGATGCCTTGTAGACCCAAGCCACCTGGAATGGGACAGGGGACGTTGGAGCTAAATCAAAATTCAGAGTGACATGGAAGACACCTGAATTTCAACTAAAACACTAAACAAAGGGATTTTCAGTCTTTAAATAGACCTGATCTAAGGCTAAAGCAAAGGTTGTTGCTGTACTACAAAGAGTTCTCAGATTTCCATAGTAAAGATTACTTTGATATAGATAGATTGGGTATGTGTGTTGATGGTCTTGTCTTTGAGCCTTGCCAGAAGACATCCTGTGACTGTAAATCACCTTAATCTCCCATTAAAGTGTGAATCTTTACCGTTTGCAACTTCCCAAACTAGATGCTTTGATCTGCAAATTAGCTGTGCCTCGCTTGGATCAATGGAAGTCAGCATTTCCACTTAAGAGTCATATCAGAGAATCTACACACCCAGAACTATGGAAAACAATCTGTTTTCCACAGCATTTCTCATAACAATAATCTATGTTTTCCAACTTATGAATCCATAGCTAATTGCAAAAATGCAATGAAACCCTGTTAGTGAATTTTGAAGATGTTCATCTGAGTCCTGGTAAAAAATGCTCCAATTTGGATGAGGCATGTCTGATGTGCATTAGCATATTATATACTAGGTGCTCCTGTTGTGCTCTGACACTTTCTAGACCAGGGGTAGGCAACCTTTTTGAGCCAGGGGCCGGGTTGCT